TAAGTCGTAGGAGTGGCCTCCTTCTGCTGAGATTCTTGAGAAGGACTCGATAAGATCCTTCCTCTACACACTGCTGGTACATGATGTAATCCACCACACCGTTGACATGTGAGTTGCTTGTTCTTCGCAGCTAGTCGACAATTCTTCCCCACATGTCCTGTGCGACCACAGCATAAACACCGACATTCCAAGTTGGAATTTCCAACATACCAGGTAACTGAGCTGGACATGATTTGGCCGCATGGCCTTTCTCGAAGCATCTTAGGCATCGAGCTTCCCTTCGTAGTCTATCATAATCTATATAGGGCTTCACAGATTGAGATGGTAAGGCCAACATTTGAGTCGTCTCTTCATCCTGCCGCAGGATTCCTGCGGATAGGTATCCACAGTCTTTGCAATGTGAACTTCTGTCACTGGTGACCTCAGCAGCGTAGGCAATGTCTTCTCCATACTCTGAGTCTGCTGCTTATTGAGAGAACGACTCCGACTGAGGACCATCATACGAGCATGTTCATAAGCCACATTCTGTAACCGATAAGCCAGAATCCAGTCATTATACGGAGCCATTAGACTATTACATAGAAGGTCATATAACTGGTCATCAGTCACAACATCACCTTGTAACCTCAGTCGACTAGCATATTGATCCACTGTATACAAATGATCAGAGACCAACTCCCCTGACTTCTGTTTCAAGCTGTTAAACTCAGCCCTAAGCTTGATGATGTCACCCGGATCGTAGTACTGATGTCGGAGTTGGAGCTTCAAGCTGTTGTATAGATCTTCAAATCGGCCTTGATTCAAATCGCAAGGTGGTAAGGCATCCCGAACTTTAGCACTCAATGAATATAGAAGCATATAATAAGCCGTTGGAGTCGTGATACCAATAGCAAGTTGGCCCATAAGCCGTTCTGTAGACATAAAATGCTCCATGATAGACGGCCCCTTCTCCGAAGGGTTCCAATGTGGGTGCTTAGCCGCTTCTAGTTCGGCCCTTGCCTCCTTCCGACATTCCCGCAGTATAGAGCTTCTTGGTCGGTGGTGCTGTTCTGTATGCTCATCAGAGTCAACCTCCTCTTCCTCTTTCTTCTTAGAGTTGGGGGATTTCTTCTTAACCATCACCAGTTATAGTTCTCGGATGATTGTTGATCTATTCCAACCAGGGGTATTGAGATAACACAAGTATAGCCAAGATAGGGTAGGTGCAAGATAGGATAGGTCTCGTGTCAAGTACACCGAAATAAGGAAATAACTTTGTGCCACAGCTAACGAACAAAATAGCTATTCTACTACTAAGAACAGCAAGATTTCAAGATCTCAAGAGATCAATAGGCACAGACAACACTTCTCTACTTGATGAGCCTATTTAGGACCAGTCGA